AATAATAATAATAATAATAATAATAATAATAATAATAATAATAATAATAATAATAATAATAATAATAATAATAATAATAATAATAATAATAATGAAAATTGAATTGGATTGAAACGAAACAAATAATAATATTATAAATAATAATAATTAGTTTGGATAATTATATTGTTATAAATCAAATATCGGGTAATTGAATCTAAACTTTTTTTCTCGAACGCAGATTTTTTCGGGATTTCCATTGTATTTTTCAGCCATTTATTATTTTATGGCGGCACTTTCTCCAACAGCTGAGAGGGGCTCAGGATCCGTGAATGTCCCTGGGGAGGTGATAACGACACTCGTCGATTACACCAATACCACCCACTCACGGCGTAAAACCCCGGAAAAAAAAACCCCTCATCCCCTCTTAGCCCAGCAACTCACCGCCTTCGAACTACTGTTCAGTAATTTCTCCTTTTCCCTCGCCCTTTTTGTGACCCACTTTTTTTAGAGGGCGATATCCCGGGATTTTAATATAAAAATATGTATTAAATCCCAGGACCTCAAGAAATTTCGAGTCCATCACTTTCCAAAATTTTCCGACGACAATAAATTCGCAGTTTATTTAACAATTCAATTAATTAAAAACTCATTAGGATTGATGGGTAAAGGTATAAGAATTGCTTAAAATTTTGAATTGGCGATTGACTAAAATTTATTTCATTAATTCGTTTAAACAATATAATATTTATCCATAAAACCAACTACAAAATAATAATTTGCAACAGCTATTATTTCAACTAATCAACGCATTGAAATATTAATCAAAAATTAATTGCGATAAATATAACGAATCATAGAAAGGGTGATAAACTTTTGTTTTGACTGTACGTGGAGAAGATCCTTAAAATTCTGGATTGCCTCAATGAAATTGTCAGAAATAATGATTTTTTGTGATTGGAGAGGGGTTTTCTGGGATTGAGAAATTTTATTTCTGAGTTGAATACCTCTAATTCAAATGGACAATAAACCGAAAATGGAGAGGTGCCCTGGGATCGCTTCCCCGGGATATCACGTACCTTATCACGAGTAGGTAGGGTGGATGAAGGGAAGAGATAGTTTGTGCGTCGATACGTATGAAACCATCGAGCCATGATGGTTTTGGTGCACGTACAGAACCTTCGGGGTAAAAGGAACCTCAGCTTCACCTTGGGGTTGTGCTCCAGGCATCTGGCCTCTAAATTGTGCCCTCTCAACAGCTGGGGATGTTCTCTTTGATGATCGCATTGAACAAAATTGCGGCCAGGGTAATTGCAGCACATGGGATTTACAGGTTTTCAGTATTTGCACGTGGATGCAGCTATTTTGCGTCGATATATCGGTAACCAAATGGCAAAGCAACGCGATTCGATCCTTCCACTTTACTAAACACCGATTCACCCGAAACTATTGGGTTTACGAGGACATGTCAAAAGAACTTTTTTCTCGGGAATTTCATTTCCTACAAAAAAGTTATCTACGAGTTCGACCTCAAATCGATGGTTCTCGAGGTAAATCAATCGATTTACGACAATTTACCAGGCACTGATTTTTCTCGGTTTTTACTCTTTTCATTCGTCATAAAAAAATTGAAAATTACTTTAAAATTTCGGGAATTTCCGGGATTAATTGAATTTTTGAACGAATGAAGTTTGGGAGGGAATTGTTTTTATTATTCTTCAGAAAATATTATCAATTGCGAAGTTTTCGCGCAGCTCAACCGCAAAAATCCAGCGACAAGTGGCTAGTGGCTGTATTGTTACCGAGAAGTTTGCAAATAACAGGAGTTGAGATTGAATGCATCTAATTCCTGTAATAACACAGGGGGTGGAAAGTTTCGCATTGTGGGGTAGGAGCCATGTACCGACATGGGGGTGAATATAACCCCTCGGTGAGGGTCAAAATTACATGCCCTGTGGATCCATCCAATTGAAAAGTTTGAGGGTAATTTTATGTCCGATCGAGTCATAACGTCCCAACTTTCCTCTTAAAAATGTTAATTAATTTTTTTAAACCGGAGATTCTGAGTAAAAAAATTCAATAACTCGATCTTTTTATTTTTCGCGCATTGAATTTTTTTTTCCGATTCTCAGGTTTACGTATGAATAAAAGATGATACAAATGCACCGGAAGTTACTTGTCAGTTGATAAATAGTCATGAATACATACTATTGTCAGATTTATTTTGTTCCACTTCTTTACGGGAATTATATACAGAAAATTCGTCATCTGAATTCAGTCATTTCCACAATTGAATAAAAACTCCAATAAAACTTAAAAACTCGTGTCTCCAATAAATAAAACATTCCCCGAATAAAGAACTCAACGAGAAAATAATTGAATAAAAATTTTCCGACACAAAAATAATCGCCGACAACAATAAAATAATACACAATAAAAAATAGATATAAATATATTCCAGAGAGTGTAAAAATATTAATTAAACAAATCTGAAAAGACTCACCTTTTTTGTAAGCAACAGTCTCTGATCTCGATGATCGGAAATCCGTCACAAGTGTCTCATCAACGCGAGCAATAAATCGGTAATGAGAGAAAAAAAATGTGGAGATCTTCACCGGAATGTAATGTCGCTCTCCACAAATCGAATTAATCCCCGAGAATTGTTTACACCGGCGACGAATCGTTGGTTAATGCACGCCAGTCCAACGCGTACCGACACTGGGGGTTAAATGGGCAATTGAAGGGTGTACAATCGAGGGTGGGGGGAGGTAAATTAAAGAAAAAAGCCCGCGCAATGCAAAGAGACAGACGAGCTAGCTCTGTCCGGTCCGATGTAGTACCACCGGGATATAATAGTATCCCACTACTACTGGCATCTACTACTGAAATTGCGCAGGCGTACCTCCCACCCACCCACTCAATTTTCCATCTCTGGTATTTTCCATTTTCCTTTTCTAACCGAGGGCTGTCTTACCTCTCGGGTACTGCTACTACTCAACCCTCGAGCTTTATCTATTTTATCTTCTTTCACTGAAATAAATATTACGTCTGTCAAATTTATTTGAACCTAAATTTAAACGTCAGACGACATTTGGAAAATTGAATTGAAAAAATTATTTCGAATTTTTAAAATCGAATTTTTTAAATCGAATTTTCACTCGAATTCTTTCATAAAAATTGAAATTCTTGAAATATTTGTCGGATCAAAATTTAAGGATAAGATTATTCTAGAATTTTTTATTTTAAAGGAAAAGTAATTTTCAAATTACTTTCTAGTAATTACTAATTAGAAATAATTGATAGTCGGAAATGACAACAAAAATGAGAGATAATTAGAGATCGCACGAGTAATTGAAAAATTATTGACATGATTCGTTTTTTTTTAATAAAAAAATGACGTGAGTTCATCGCATTTTAAGAGTGAATAAAAATTAGCAGTAATTTTTCAATGTACATAACAATTATCGAGTTACGATACTGTGAATTACTCGTTCAATGACACGTCTGATTTTTACTCCCCCGTGGATTATTTACAAATTTCATTGACAGTCGTAATTCAGTAATTTTTTATTTTGCGACGTACGGTTTTTTTACTTTCTTGGATTTTATCGTAACACCTGTCTGATAAACCGCGACAAATCGCTCAGGGGTCCGATTCAGAGAAAAATAATGATCGCGATCGTTATAAAATAATAGACCCGACGAATAATTAAATTACAGATAATTGGACCGGAAATTATTCTGAGATGTCCAACGCACCGTGAACAACTCTGAATTGCAAAAAAAAAAAAAATGGGAAAAAGGTCCGGACATTCCTCGAGGCTTCAGTAATATTTTCACAAAGTCTCTGAATAAAAATTAAATTCCCATAAAATTCTTCAAAAGTATTTTTTAAAAAACGCATCCAACTCATTAAAACGTCCGCAATTTACCCTTTACCGCGTAATTTCTAATTTCTACAAAAAATGATCAAAACCAGAGTTGTCGTTTAAATTTTTCCTTTTTTCAACATTAATGTATGCAAATGGAACCCGCGGGTCGTTGGCGACAAAAATTCCGCGTCGAGGAAATTAACGATCGCAGAAAAAAAAAATGAAAAAAAATGTGTATAATATCCTCAAATGACGAAAAAACCCCGGGTCTTCATAATCCCCCGAATAAATACATCGGCTTTAAGTCATGGAAGTAAAATCCCTCTTTCTCGCTTACCTCTTCCCTCAGCAGAAGTGGAGAGGTAGTACGGATAAGAAACAGAGTACCATGGACTATTATTAAAGAAATAAATTCAGGAGGCGGGTAAATATAAAATTCCCGGAGCATATTTCTGGTTTTAATGAGAGTGAAGGCTTTAAAGCGAGATAGTGGAGTCTATAGTTCTTCGGAACAATGCTATCTTGAGAATGTTCCACGAGAATTTCTTTGTTCGAGGTGAAGTCAAAAATTTATAGCAAAAATTAATGAAATAAAATAGTAACCGACCCTCAAAGCGAAAAAAATTTCCATTTTCCATTTCCTCCTCAAAATTTTCATTTCAACGATTCCCCAATAATTTCAATTATTCCATAACAATAATAACAATTTATTTAATGATTTAATCATTGTAATAATTAAATAAATTAATTGGAAGACTAGAATGAAATGAAAGAAATGAAATAAAATGGGGAGCAGTGAAATGACAAAGGGGTTGAGACAAAGATAAATAAGAAGTCATTGAGAAAAAATAAAAGTTGATGGGAGGGAGGTAGGGGGAGGGATCATGAGCTCATTGCAATTGTCTTTAATGACGACAAATCCCTCCCCAGAAGACCCTCATCTTCACGGATCTGTACGCAGCTGGGGCGTACGTCTGAATGGCACAATAACGAATGTCTTTCATCCCCTTTGTCCTCACCACTTGAATATTAAATACGAGAGGCATTTAAAGGGCTCGGTTTTTCAACCCTCCCAGTGCCAGTGAAAATAGAGATGAAAGAATGTCGAGGAACTGATACCTGTTGCGGGGCTGACGCTCAACGGTACTTACTACTCACCCACGGATTTGACCCACTGACTTTTCATTTAACCCTCAGGCAATATTTTTTCAATGCAAATCGATCAAGTATTGTTTATTGTCTCTAATCCCTGCAAGTCTACAATGAAATTCGTTAATTATGAATTAATTATTTAAATTATGCGACTTTGAGAACTAGAAAGTTTTTCTTTTCTGGATTCAGTTTAATATCTTTTCATTTTTGGTCCTGAATGGAAGCTTTGTAATCGATCAAATTCAAGTTTCATATTTTTTCCACCCAAGGATTTCGAAAATGTAGTTTTGAATCTTTTTTTTTCAAACGTAGGCCTCATTGGGCCCTATTTATCACTATCAACGAAAATCGATTTCATTCATCCATTTTTTATTTTGGATTTTTTCGGAAATTCATTTTTTTCACAACTGAAAAAAAAAATCATCCCAATCAATAATAACTTTTTTAGTTTCCATGACATTTCATTATTTTGAAAACCATTAACTTGAATTTCGGGTCATAAAAGTACATTGTCATCAAATCATTCAATTGAATGAAATAAAAATGAAAGCTCATTCACAAAAGGGGAAGATAATCCGGAAAATAACCCTTCGAAAACATATTGCTAATTTATTAACAAAAACAACTATACCCTATGCGACATAATAGCAATTCCCCAATTGTTTATTATTCAATTGAAGTTTCGTTTTTTTTTTAATGCTGTAAAAATGATTACGTACATACCGGAAAGTACGAAATTGGTAAATTTTTTCCGAGAAAGAAAATGTTCTAGAGTGTTTTAACAAGAGTCGTGTTGCCAGCACCGAGTGTTGAGTACACTCCCTCGTATTTTTCCATCGTCTGGAGTTTCATGACTATGAAGGAATAAACTACTTTTTAATTGCCGAGTGGTTACTATTTTTTTCCATTAACCCCGAGGAAATTGGAGAAATCCGTGGGATAGCCGGTGTCGCTCGTAAATACAGGTTACACCCGTCACCGCGTACGTGATTGCAATTACTGGTGATGTAATTAGTAGTTTGAAGATAAAGTGTGTAATCCACGGTTGATCGAGTCGTCCTGGATGACTGGAGGAAGCAATTTTTCGGAGAAGAAATTATTGGAAAAAAAAACCATGGAGAAGAGGTGACAAACATCAGCTGCTGACGACGTATACCACGGGGGTGTGTCGGCCAGTCGTAAAATGCCAACTGTGTGGTTTTGCATTTCTGCGGAGGACACGGGAGACCAGGGGATTATTATCGTGTCGACGAGAATAACCTGCCACATTCGCCGGGATTGACCTAGCCTCGGAGAGGACCGAGGGGTTCCAGGGAACCAGGGGAATCCCAGAGTGCAGAAGCTTCTCTATCAGTGATATGCATTTTGGTTGATACATTTTACCACTGCCTGAGGGTAAAGCGATATGGGCCGAGGTATATCATGTCGCTGGATGTATTTAAAACGAGTTATTCCTGGGATCGATGGGCTTTTCAATTCATCCTATCAATTTTCTACCTTTTACTTTTGTTCTCACCTGATGGAACGTGAGTGCTACCTTTTAGGGACTCATCAAACTACCCGGTTCTGATGTTCACCATCAAATAATCAATTTTCGTAGTAATATTGTTATTACTATATTATAATCGTGAAAAAAATTGCTAGGAATCTCGATTTTCTGTTATTTTTGCGCGAATCGCCCGCAGCACGCCGATTATTTATATTCCCGGGTAAACAAAAAATTGGGAACCAAAATATTTGGATTTTTGGGAAATGTTTTGGAACATTTTTCGAAAATTTGTTTCGGAAATTTTTTTTTATCATTTTCTAGAAATTTTTGCGAATATAATTTTTTTTTATTATACTGTTGTTTTCTTCCTTTTTTAATTTTTCAATATTCTCAAAAAAAACGCTATCTGAATGATAAAAAAAGTTTTCCTATTTAAATTTTTGAAAAATTTTTCAAAACCTTTCCCAAAAATAAAATTGTTTTGTTTTCCGATTTTTTTTGTTTCATAAAACAAAAATTCTGAAAAATTTTCCAGAAATTTTTTGAAAATTTGGAAAAAATATTCCGATTAGAATTTTTTTTACCCGGGTTATTAGTCTATCCTTTTGATTTCTCTCTTCAATTCCGTTTATTCTTGATAAAAATTGATATTTTAGGATTTATCGGGGATTTTAAATGGATTTTTGGGAGGGAATTCTCATTTTTACCTGCAGCTCACGCCCAGTGGTTTCATTTGTTCGAAATTAGTATGCATGACGAAACTCGAGAGTGTCAGTTCTCGTTTGTTACTTGTGAAGAGAGGAATGGGAAACTGGTATTTTGTGTGAAGGTTCTGGATTCGAGAATGTCGAGGGTCTCCTGGGGTACGTCTGATTCGATCTGGAGTCCTTTCCCTGAAACTACTCTACATCAAATGTCATGTACCGCGGATAAACCATCGGTATTTCAACTAATTGCCGGTGTTACAGATAGAATGGACAATTAGGGGATTTAATTACATTCATGCAGGACCAAGTTTTAACGAATGAAATAATTAGGGATCAAAGCCAGTCTTAATTCTGTATGAATTCTATGGGACGGGGCACCTGAAATTCAATGATATCCCGTGATTAACTGAATTCATCAGGCATCGGGTCATTGTTCACCTCCTTGTCCGAATAAACATACCAGATCGATCAATACAACAATAACAATTCAACTGCGTCACTGAATTGATTACATTGGGGAGCAGAAAAATCACCGGATTATTCGGAAAAATTGGAGGCTCGGGTAAAAAAAAAATTGTAATCGGAATATTTTTTCCAAATTTTCAGAAAATTTGTGGAAAATTTTTCAAAAATTGAAATAGGAAATTTTTTTTTATCATTTAGAAAAAATTATATTCGCAAGAATTTCCAGAAATTTCTAGAAAAATTTTCCGAAACAAATTTTTGAAAAAATTTTCAAAACATTTCTCAAAAAATAATTTTCTGAAAAGTTTTCCACAATTTTTTTGAAAATTCGAAAAAAATGTTCCGATTACAATTTTTTTTTACCCAGGGAAATTTCTCTTTTCACCTTTTTTTCATTAATCGCCGGGATAAAAACAATATAAATAATTTTCCCGCACTGTAATTTTGTTTTAAATTTTTTATCATCAATCGGAAACCGTCGGAATTAAAAAATATTGATAAAACGATGGAAATGGGATTTATGTAGAGCATTTAGTTTTGGAAAAGTGATATTTGATTTTTTATTGTTTTATTTATGGAAAAATATTATTTTTCACTTCAGTATTATCTCCAGTGTTTGTTATCAATTTTTATCTGAGAAGTGATGGGGATTTTCCAGGATGGAGATGATGGTACATTGCCTGACAAATATGCAATTCCCATGCCAGTTTTTCCCGCCTCGATAATCCATTTCACGTCATTGTAGGGTACTGCCAGCTCATGGAAAACTTTTATGACCTACAACTCGTCATCTAATTACGCGAAAGAGTTGTTTCTGAGAGTCGAGGAAAAGGCTGGAATTCAATTAATCGTATTGGAAGTTCAAGGGTTTTTAATTGTTCAACGTAATGAGATTGAGGAAAAGTTTATTACACGAGTACTCGAGAAAATGATTGCAAAAGTTGATGGAAAATATTCCAACTATTTCTTGTACCCACAACAAAAAAATTCCTGAATCGATAATTGTTTGCATTTTTGCAAAAAAAATCCATTAACCACTCGGGTAAAAAAAAATTGTAATCAGAATTTTTTCTCCAATTTTTCAAAAAATTTCTGGAAAACTTTTCAGAATTTTTTTTTTGCAACCAAAAAACAATCGGGAAGCAAAACAACTGTATGTTTGAGAAATTTATTCTGAAAAGTTTTCCAGAAATTTTTTAAAAATGTTGAAAAAAAATTTCGATTACAATTTTTTTTTACCGACCAGTCTGCACTCAACGGTTAAAAAAAAATCCGCCCTTGACAATTATTCAAACATTATTAAATACTCTGAGCGATATAACGACTGGTATTTGTGATGTTTAATTGGAAATAAACAATAGAGATATTCGGGTGAAAAAAAAAAAATGGGACAGCAAAGGGTGAGTTGTGCTGACTCATGACGATATCCGAAGAATAGAGCGTTATTTTCATTTTCACCGGCTCTAAAGCAACAATAGGGGATGAAAAATAGGGGTGAGGAATGAGAGAAACATGGAATATACGAATTAACAGTTGGTATCAAAGCTCGAGGTAGAAAGTGGTATTATTCCTCAGTGTACGAAGCAGTAGGTTTTCCAGGAGAATGTCTTCTTTGTTCTCGATTCTCAGACGAAATATTCTCATCCCCTGGGCGAACCCCAAGGGCAACACCAGCCAATTAACTGCCTGTAGAGGAGTTGAATGTATACATTCGAGGGGAAATACCTGTTTCGTTATTTGCCATGGATTCACCCGACATTCTGATACTTGTTGCGAAATAGATTTATTCCCTCTTGACAATTGAAATAGTCATATCACGACAATTCCTCGCGACTTTATTTCGTCTCCTCCTGAAGTTCCGATTATTTTCAATAGTAATTATCATTTCTTACTCATCATCCAACACTAATCATTAACAATTGACATAATTAATTAAGCCAGAGAATGTCTGACGATTTTTTAATGATAAAAAAAGGGATTAGTTCTCGGTAAATAATTTCCGCGGTTTCAATTCGATGATAAATAATTGGAAAACGTTCAAATAGTTTATTTACTGTGAAATTCAGAGGTAAATGTGAAACTCCTTCATAAATATTTATTATCCCACACGTTGGAAGTGCCCGGGCAAAGAGATAAACGGAATATTTTACCTCTGATATTTAAGGACGACAATGCGGTGGTGTCGTTATTGTGGCATGTGATCACCGAGAGATACCAGGAGAGTGCAATAAAGTCGGTACCTAGCAAACTTTGAGGAGTACTCGGTTTAGCTCCAGAGGTATTCTCAGTCATCCCGTCGTGAACCAGAATAATATACCACCCAGAACCACTATGTGACAGTTATTACTTATAAAATATTCTCCCAGAAATTCAGGGAAAATAAATTGAAGGACTGGATATCACCGATTTCAATTTTTCATACAAAAAATTGAATCAAGAATTCAATTCAATTATTTATCCACTTGTTTATTCAAGTTTCAATATATTGATAATTTATCAGCAAAGACGACTACATGATATGCGATATAACAGCAATTTCCCATTTGTTCTTCATTGTAATGATTGAATTTCAAATGATGATGAAAAGGAAAAATAAATGGAGGAAGAAATGATGTTCTATATATTTTTCAATGAGGAAACGTTTGGGGATGACGACCGAAATCCTTTGAAGGTGCATCCCACATTTATAATCCGTCTTCAGGCTCTCGTACTTTGAGAGATGAACGCAGCCCACGAGTTCCTCCAGTTCCCGAGCTTTAATCCTGGGATCAAGGGCAAGTGGCAGTCTTTCTCACCTAGATTGCTCTATTCTTCGGAGATGACGAGGGTTAGGGGACAGACTCGACACTTTTCCTCAATTCAACTTGTATTTTAAACGGTGGACCGGATTTTATCGTCTTGATATCTTCAGTTTCTTCACGTCAATGTTCCCCGGTCCTCAGACCCCTGAGCACTGGATTGCGGACGAGAGGATGAGGTGCTAATTACTTCCGTCAATTGCATCGCAGCAGCCAAACGACGAGCCTGAGACCCAAATAAACAATCATTTTCCATCATCAATATCGAATGAATGAAAGCATAAACTTTCGGGTGAGGAAAATTAATTGATTGAATGGAAACTAAAGGAATAATTAAATTCTCCAATAGATATTTGTAATAGAAATAATTTATAAAACCCTCGATAAAATTTGTCCTCTGGAGAGAATTTCGATATCGAAATTGATGAATTTCTGGTGTGATACATTCACGTGGAGTTTATGAATTTCTCGAACGTGCAATTATCCTCCTAAAAAGCTCATCAATCTCCAAGACGGTTCACCTAAAAATCGGGGGAATAATTTCCTCGGTAACACGAGCCACAGAAAGTTCAACACACTGAGAAACATGAAACTGGTGTTACGGGTTATCAACCGGATCTGGTTATACACCAGGGTGATGATTTACACCCGTCGTGCACCCCTGATTGGATGACCAGAGTTAAACAGACGTCAATTGCGTCATAAAGCCCTCAAGTTTTATCTGCATCGTGAAATTTTCTCTCCCCCTCTCCACCCGAGAGATTAAATCCTCCGTGAATGTAGGACAGGCAAATAAAAATTCCGGGGAGCAACAAAAAATTCCTCCAAATTAATTTCACCAATCAACCTTCAATGAATAATTAACGATCACCAATTTCCCTAAAGTAATCACTAAATTCCTGGAGATAATCTCCCGGAATTGTCTAGATACTGAGAATTTTTTACGTATAGATTTTTTTTTGTGGGGAGAATTGAAATTTGGAAGTGGATCGAAATTTTTAGGCGCGTTTTCAGCAATTTATAGTGATGCTGACCTTCGCCCTGTCTCTTCGGACTGTGTAGATCACCCAGAGGAGGTAACACGTCATGAAAATCGCTGGGATGCATATGCCAGCTGCTGCTGAGGCACCTTTCAGCAGCACGTGGTGGGTCACCAGCAACGTGACAGCCAGGGCTGCACCACCGGCTAGATATCGTCCTGTCCGTCGGCGTTCCTCCTGCAATGCGCAAGATATTTCAAGGGTTTTCCCCACGTGTCCACAATTTTTTATTTCCACTCGTATAATCGATTTACCCCACAACACTCACCGAGAAATTCTCACCGATAACTCTCTGAGCCTCACAAATTATAATCAACATAAATTTATCTGGAGTACATCGAGTGCTCTTGCATTTCGATTATTCTTAACCCGAAAAAATAATTAAAAGTCTAAAAATGTAATCAGCAATTAACAATTTCAATTGATTCAATGATAATTTTCTTAAAAAAAAGAAATGTCATTGAAATAATTGTCATGGAGTGATAAAAATTATTGGAGGAATTATCAAGATTAATGAGATGGTTAATGAATAATTAGATATTAAATTGAATTAAAATGCTCGATTGGTAGAATTCGGAGGATCTAGTTCGCGAATAAAAAATTCTCGTGATGAACTCGTTTGATAATTCCCCCGCGTAATTGATTGATAAATTATGCAGTCCACGAATGTGGGATGCCTTGAGAGGCGGAGGACTCTGATATACCGAGAACAAATTGATTTATCATATAATAATGGATAATCAACGTATAAATCCACTGGGGGATGGCTAACGGATTAATTAAATCGTGCGGTACGTGAAATGCCTCCACCGCAAAATCCTCGATTTTGGGGGGTGGAAATGAGGTGGAATAAATTTCTAAATTAGCATACATTTCGGAATTGCGATCATCCAGTGGTTACCACGGACATGAAATCGTATTACTCGGAGTTAATGAATTTTTCTCGACAAAACGCGCAAGATATTTCGTGGAATTATTTACCGAGGGTGTCAGTGGTTGCAATGTATCTCTCGATGCATTAACAGGTACTGGCATAATTGCTCAACATCGAGCACTTCGATCTCAATTGCCGAAGACAAAAAAAAAAAGAAAAAAATCCACGTGGATTGGTCCTTTGGACCCTCCGATTTTCCCTTTTCCCTTTTTTCTCCCTCAAACCATCAATCGCACTCGCGTTGAATTGATGGATCTTCACTTCCGGCACGCACCACGACAGATTCCATCAGTTCCACAATCTCCACTTCGATTTATTCCTCTTTTTTTTGTTAACAATTCATCCCTTTTCACCACCAAGTGATGCTCCACTGGACGCAATCAATTCCACCCGATCAATCTCTGACGATTTTTTGGTATGCACTGAGTCTCAAACGCATTCGTGAACTCCAGAGACGCTGCATCCGTGAATTTATCGTCTGCCAGATCGTAGAGTTTTGAAATAATAAACCAAATGGAAAACACGTGGTGACCTCCAGGTGATTTGCGACTGCTGGAGTGAATGATCATACTTTTTTTTCTCATCTAATCCAATGTGAACTGCTCTATAAAAAAAAATGGAAAATGGAATGGAAAATTTTCTCGGAAAATATCTTTACGTATTTCATCCATCCGCAACGCAAATGGACGGACTGATCTCTGAATCTGATTTCTGATGGAGAGAGAGAGAGAGAGAGAGAGAGAGGAAAAAAAAACAAGATATGCAGAGAAGATTTGTTTTATCGTAGAGTGCAGCATCCAAATGGGCTTTCTCATGCTCTCGATCCGTTATCGGGACTTTCAATAATATATTCTGGAGATTTGGTACCTCGGATGTACACGGGACGAGGAAAAATGGAATTTTCAAGGGATCTTAATGCCGTTTGGGTATTTATTATCGCATTCAGTTGCGCATTTCCAGAACTTTCATTTCCGGTTTCATCCGGAGGTGTTCCGGCTTCTATTTGTGAAACAACAGATGGCCCGGGGTATTATATAGACACGGGGATCCTTGAGGTCGATTTGCGGTTGTTATCCACATTCCTGACATTATCGAGGTCGAATCCCCATTGGTGATTCACTCGAGGGCCAATCAATTATTCAGATCTCGAGAATTCATGAATTAAATAATTCGATAAAACCATAGATTCATCAATGATATCTCTTTATTTTCAATCTCGTTTTAATTACAACTCCAATCTATCTCTCTTAATTATCAATTCGCGAGTTCTACGGATTATCTTATTATTTCAAGGATCAGATCTACTTGAGATTCATCAAAATGAGTTGAGTGATTATTGTTTCATTTCCTGGTGTCAGTCCTGCACATTTCCAGGAATGGGCATTCGTCATCGTTATCTGGATATTTATCTTTCATCGTTGATAACGGACAGGGCAGACCCTCTGGGCATCCAGGGAGATTGATTACGCGTTCTTGATGCATCACGAGAATATTTCTTCCAGTATTTTTACAGCTGAAATAATTGCAATTGAAAATCAAGATGAAATATTCGATAAAATTCAGTGGGAAGAGTAAAAATTCATTCTCATTATGTTTACTCGAAGGAAATAAATGCTACGTTTGTAGCGAAAGAGTCGATGAAGGAAGTCCTCCACAATCTGTCGTCAGAGGGGAATTGATGGTGTCTCATCGGTTCGTTATCCTTTGATACCTCGAGCAATGAGAGGATCTTCAAGAGTGTTCCTGAGTGGCTGAAGTAAGCAGTTGTTGTCGCATCGCTATCGAGACTGTCACATAAAAATTTGACAATTATTTTCATTTTCCATTCGATCTTCGAGGAATTTATTTGGATTGGCTTCAATTACTCGAAAAATTCGAACATATCCTTGAGAGCAGTGCAGGCGTGCTGAGCTGTGAGAGGAAATCCATATCCATCGATCCAGAAGTATTTTAAATCCTTCGCGAATTCCACTATCTGAAACAGATTGAGGTGAAATAATTCTCAAGGGCAATTCTCGATGGAAAATTTTTGAAATTCACTTGGAATTCTTCTGGCGTCAGTAGATCACACCAGGGAGAGTTGTTATTGTGATTCCAGGCAGTCTCGAAGGCACAGATTTCCGCCATCAGTTTTACATCATCTGTAATAACAAATGATTGGTTGAAGACACAATTACGGAGATAATTCCTCGAATAATTACCGAAGGAGATATTTTTTCCCACACGATTGGACACGTCCTCCACCATTTTCTTGGCAACATCTGACTTTTTGAATTTAGCCTGCTCCTCATAAGCCTCAGGATTTCGTTTCACCTGTTGTTGCCACTTACCACAGGCTTTGTAGAACTGAAAAATATTCTCATTCACTTCGTGGATATTCGTTAAAAAATATTAGAATGTCGCAAAATCTTTGAATTACACGTAATATTGGATCACTCTCCTCTGATGGTGGATACCAGACGTGTTTGCTCCCCTTTTTTCCAAATAATCCAATGGCAAAGTACCTCGCACTCTCCTCCGTCCTCTGCTTCTGCGTAAATTTGAACTGCAAAGCGATAAAAAAAAAATCACAACTCACAGAAAATTCAGTGGAAGTTATTTTTTACGATTGGCAACGGACTTTGTACGTTTTATTATCGAACTTCTCTGGCATCAACGTGGGGAACCTCGCTTGAAATCTCTCCGCAAGCCCTATCAACTCGTCCTCTCCTTCTCCAGCAAGAATCATCTCATCCTCAGGCTTGAGTTTATGCTCCCAATCCCTCACCCTCTTCAATAAATCCACCGTAAGGTCACAAGGGCCAGAATCACATTTATTTATCACAGCCTCCCTAATCTTCTCTAATTCCCCCAAAGTACTCAGTACTTTTTTCCCTGGCTTTCTCGTTCCATGTCTTATCATCATCCAAATTTTCTTCGGCTCACAATCTTCAGGATTAAAAAAACACCAATAATAATCAATTAAGGATTATTAAAGACAAGTTTTTATTTCTCACCTTTGAATTTAATTTCCTCGTCGTTATAATTAGCGATATATCTGTAAGGAGTTATGGAAGATAATCTGCACTTGTAATCATCACTGAGTCTATCACATCTGAATTTTGTTGAATCAGCCGACAAAACCCCAGATATGATTAAAAAAATAGATAAGCAGCTCCGAAACATTATTGAGAATTATTACAACTGGTATCGGTTCTTGGGAGGAATAGAATGACTAGACCTTGGCGACATGCCACCAAGAGAATTTATGAGGACGCAATGCGTTCTATGAATCAAGACATTCTACCTGATAATTTCAAACACGTGTCTATAATACCGAGGGCTTGACAGCCAGCTGTTTCGTGGAGTGAAAAAAAAAAGCAAGTGAGTGTTGGTAAGAATGGAATTTTGGAGTGATCTCAACGGATACGGCAGTGTTAGCAAGACGCAAATGTACCGGCATGCTGCATCCTCCAGGGAGTCGTCAATAAACTGGAGATAAGTGGAATAAATTTTCTATTTGAGTTTTATCTAGTTATTCGAGGACTATGGAACTCGCCAGACACGTCTGGAGGTCCTCCACGTACGTCTACAAATCAGGACTTCATCCAGTGATCAGGCACAGGTACAGGCACCATTCATAACCTCAAAATAGCAAAAAAAGATTTTTTTTCCAATGTTTTCCTCGTTTTCCACTCCAAATTATCACATTAATTGCTGGAAAACGGTTTTTAACAATGGAAAAATCCTCCAAAATTGTTTTAAACTAATGATCATTCACGAATATTTATAAATGAAGGTTGAGGCATGACATTAATTTTTTCTAGCAGCAGTAAAGCATCAAATATAGCCCTCTCGTGCCTCCCGAAATATCAGGACACGTCGGGATCCTCGGGGGTGGCCTCCACGGAGGCAAAACCAAGTGACGAATTGATTTTGAATGCCCTGGGGGCCACAGACGAATTGTCCTGCTACATAGGACTTGCCCGAGAGTTCGCCTGCGACAGCAGTGTCGAACATCCTTACGTTGATAAATTAAAAAGAGTACAAATGATTCTTTTCGATTTGAATCACGCCATATCGAGGTCCAGGGACCAGAGGAGCAACCTCTTCGAGGACAGACACACTCGGGATCTGGAGGAGTGGATCACAGAGTATGCGAATCATCTGCCACCTCCTGAGGATTATATCATTCCAGTGAGTGATTTTTTAATCTCTCTTCGCCCCTGTCACCCAGAAATTAATTTATCTTTTTTATTTTAGGGAGGGGGAAAAGCCAGTGCATCTTTACACGTGGCGAGAGCAATTTGTCGACGAGCTGAACGCACTGTAGAAAAACTTGTGCACGATGGAACACTCGACGGGGAAGCGAAAAATTATTTGAATAGATTATCAGACTTTCTCTTGACTGTGTCTAGAATAGCTGCCAAGTGCGATCAACGGACGGAGAATATATACATCCCAAGGGCAGAAATTCCAGAGGATAAATAAATTATTAACTGAATAGTTTTAATAATAGAGGAACCGTCTTTCATAATATTGAGATCAAATTGTGAAGTCTGTGCAAATGAAGATTTCGTAGTCACAAACACAGATGTTTTCTCGTGGAAAATGTAATTTCCATCGATTTTCGGTAGTCATTTCCAAATTTCGTATGAACAATTAGTAATGGACGGCAATAATGTGACAGATCACTTGTTGAAATCAATGTTGTATAGAAATACTTTAGAAAACTTATGGAAACATACATTGAATAATTACTCACTTTACGATATCACTTCTACTGTATATATTATGATTTTTATGGAAACTTATTAAATTATGGGTAATTAAATCTTTACAAATAACAACACATTTATTTTATAACTTCCAGAAAAATCCAGTTTTTCAGGGGAGTCGCCATTGAGTTAAACCATTTAATAATCCATCCGCGGAACTTCTATTGTCTCTGGAAAACTACCGATTTGAGATCAAAACCTTGAAGGACTTTTTCATAGCTAATTAAATTCTCTTTAAAAAAGATCTCTCGATATTTTTTTCTCGACTCGCTAGTTTTCGAGATAAATCCATAATAAAAAAAAAACCTTAAATGTGATTTATTGAAGCTGAACGTTTTTCCCTCAGGAATTGAATTTGAAGGAAAAAATCGGAGGATTACTCCAGCAATTCCTCTCCCTCAGTAACTTCCTTGAGATTAACGAGCTCCAGGATACCAGTCCCTCTCGTTTCACTCCTGATGAGCTCATCGATTTTCCTGTAATTTCCAGGATCGATGAGGCACGTGAGATCGAGTGTTCCCTCGGCCCAATTTTCACTCTCGACGCTAGTGGTCATCTTGACGATTTTATCCCTGAGCTTTCTGGCCTCTTTCCCACTGATAACAACCCTGAGCCTCATCTGGGCCCTCTCCAGGGGCATCACGGACTTCAGCTGAGGAATGACCTCCAGGGCCTGTTGCTTGGCATTCCTGTGGGGTTTCACTGAAAAGTGCACGTCCTTCATCGCTTTTTCTATCATTGACACGGGGTAAGGCCTCTTTGAATCTGGATTCACACATTTATCAGCTACTGTTGTCGCTATGTCCTTGAACATCGAGTCCAGGGCGGAGTGTCTCTCCTTGTCCGATACCTGGAGCTCTCCCTTCGAGAGAATCTCCTTGCATATCTCTGTCTGGTTGTCTGTCCCGAAGGCCTTCAGCAAATCCTCTTTTTTAGACATTTGACCTTTTGAGACATTCGTGAAGACGGTGTGGGTCTGGAGAACCTCGTCGATGTCTTTTTCTCTGGAGATAGAAAATTCAGTAGCTACAGGGTATTTAGGAATTCAGAAAAACCATTTATTCTGTCATTAATCGACGGGTGGTGTCTATAATTAATTTTGAATACGTGATTTGGAGGTTAGAGTTGCGAGAATCCATGCAACACTGGTGACTCACAATTTATTCCTCCAGGACACGACTTTATTCCTGTAGCAGGCGATCTCGAACCTCTTCCCCTGTTTTTTCATCCTGACAACAGCCACATTTGTCAGCCTGATCTGATTAATCGGTGTGAATAACTTGGACATCTTCAATAATATTTTCGAAACAAAAAGTAAACACGGGTAAATCGCCAATACAGAGCCTCACGTGTCCCTCGAAAAAAATTCCCCAGAGAAAGCAATTCCACAATTTTCACAGTTAAATATTTTCGCATTTCCCCCTAAACTATCAAAAAACTCTTGAGATTAATGTTTTAATTGAGAACTCGTAATTATTTTGTGGTGTCACCGGTGGAATTGAGTGAATTACGAGGTGAAATTGAATTTCCCTCCAAGCTCGATGAAACTTCCCAGAAGTCACTAGGCGAATGTGCGCGCGCACCGTCCCTCGCCACCTGTCGTCATTCCCCAGATTTGGGCATCCAAGATGGCGGCGTGTGAGTAAAACTGTGCGGATACCGTGTGTGTGTTTTTTTTCCCTCTCTGTGACGTTTAACAAACAAAAAAAAATGAAATAAAATTAACAATGAGCGAGAAGACTAGACGAATTATTGACACAACATCGTGAGGCGTTTTGAGAGGATTACCGATGTGTCGTTGACGCGAGTGTAATCAGTGTTTTGGGGGAGTGATTTGTTCACTTTTTTTTTTAACGGTTTAAAGTGGATAGGATAATGGCATTGGTGACGGTGCAACGATCGCCCAGTGTTTCAAGCTCACCCCAGAGCTCGGTGAGTATTTTTTTTATTTTTATATTTGGAAGATTTGGGGAGCTGGTGTTTCGGGGTGATTTGGGGGTGAGCGACTGGCAGCTGAGATTTTACTAGCAGTACTGGTTTTTCTGGATTTTTGGAGGGGTTTTTGGATTTTTTTTTTTTTGATTTTTTGTCGGGGGAGAGGGTGCAAGACCTTGAAAACCGGCCGGTTTTCCAGGACGAAGAGAACGTGATTTTTTTAAAGTAATTAATTAATTTGTTTTGGAAAGGGGGAGGGGTGGTTTTTGGGGAGATTTGCGAGAGGTTAATTTTCGAAAAAACAATTCTGAGGTTTTTCTGATGAATTATTGGTTGTGGAAGTTGATTTTGCAAATGATAGAGATGTTTGGTGGGAATTTTAAAAATCTTTCGATAAGTCTTTGAGGGAAAACAGCAGTTTCTCGGGAAACAAAAAACATCCGGAATTTCCCTAGTGTCGAAATCCCCGCGAATTTCCTGGAACGCATATCCGAGGCGTGTGAATTCTAATATTGGATCCTCTGGCGACTTCACAATTGCTCGTGCAGAAATAGGAGATTTTTATACTCTTGCCATTGGTAAATGTATGGAAATTGCTCGAGTGAAATTGAATCAGATGCGAGGAAATGAAAACACCTCAAACCTGAAGTTGTAGTCGACCAATTTTTCCCCATTTTCAAAAATAAACAAACGAAAATAGATTAATGGATAAATTTGCTTTGGATAGAGAGAAATAAATTTTGTTTTTCTGACAAAAACACGGTTTAAGCAATCCTGCGAAACACATGGGCCTGCCAATTTCTATAAATTAGACACAATCCTCTCAACGATTCTACGAATTGAAAGATTGTCAAGACGTCAGAAGTCTTCCCTCACCATTTTTATTATTCCTCAAACCTTTCAAGATTTCATTTGTCTAAGTAAACAGAATGATTTTAAAAATAAGCAATCGAATCTAGAAGAGCAGAAAGTTAAATGACGGAATTATCACGATGAAGAGAGTAAGAGAGGGTTTAATAAAAAAATTATGTTGGAATTGGAGTCCTGGTGAAAATGTTAAACAACCTGGACATCCCCTGGTGGTGAGCTTCTGAAGCCCAGGGAGACGCAAAATTTTCGCGTATACTGTTGATAGCTAAATGTATCAGTCGTATGAGTGCGTTCTACCCGTACGGTTTAGCACTCCTTGGAGCATATGCCCTTGAGCTGCCACTCAAGTTTATCCGGATTCGTTTCGAGAACCAGAAAATCTCGTTTTTCTAACCGTGGCATTAATGACACCGAGAAAATCCATCAAATGATCCCGACGAATCGGAGAAATAATAATATTGAGGTGTGAAACAAGACTAGAATGACAGAATTTCTCCAGGAACAAGTGGATGTCCTGGAGGAGATGTAAAATGAGATAATAAACAGGGTGAAGATTATTCACACGTCATGATACTTCTTCGGCAAAAAGGTGTGTTACTTTGTGTTGTACCTCCACCTGGGGCACCTCAGCCACCATCTCCTTGGTCCAGCATCCTGAGGTCCACGTGCGAGGACAAGAATATTGAAAAAATCAAGTCTAAATCAACACCGGGAACCATTCGACTGGAATGTGGGGATTACAGTGTAAGCACTTGAGGGCTTTTTCATGCATCAGGAGCTCCAGGGGAAGATCATGGGAATGATATCCAGGAGACGTTGAATAATTCCTCATTCATTCCATTTCCAAAAATCGCAGCCACTTCCATTTCTCTGATTTAAAAGACAAACCATGAAAAATTAATGAACCATAAATCTTGTTTCGTGTAGATAGGAAATGTATTTTATTTAAAAAAATATAAATGCTCCCTCTCGATTTATTATGGAGAGCAGATCCTCGCATCTTATCGATATCGTGCTCTCGATTTATATTTTCTCTCGAATTAATCGGGTCAGCATCAATTTTGAATTTAGTGCAATCAGTATATTCTTAGCTTTAAACTCTGAGCAGAGCCGAGGGCTTGACCTCCTTTAGCTCAATGATTGAATTAAAATGGACAATTGTTTGATAAATAAATAATGAATTGTTATTGGTTTTGTTTCAGGACTCGGGCGCAGGAGCACCCACTGATGAGGAAGATGCAACGCGTGGCTGCAAGAGGTAAGTGACCACTCGAGAAAAAAAATTGAAATTTATTTCACAAGTTGTTGCTCGTAATCTCTGGTGTCTTGGAGTGAAAGTCCGGATGCTTATTTGAATAGTCGCAATTGTGGAAGGGAATACACTGGTGAATTATTATTATTGTTTATCATCCAGACCAAATTTGGGGATTTACCGTCATCTACGCATTTTTATTTATAAAATTTGGCACATATCGGTCATTTTCATCATTACGATAGCAGCCAGGAAGCTGAACAAGGGGTTTTCGTTGTACTCGTCTTTGCCAATAAAAGTGTCATCTGTCTTGACGCATAAACAAAGAATATTATTGTTGCAAATTGCTGTGGAAATTGCGTTTTTCGTTATTCAACGTTCAGAGTCATTTTTATTTCGACGTCTTGATGATTGATTTTTTGCGAAAAAAGAGGAACTATTGGGGACGGCTTAATTATTTTTGTATTACGTAATTTTTTAATTTATGAGTTAGAAAATTATTCGAATAATCGCCTCTGATATCTCATTTGGTTGAGAGTATTAAATTGAACAAGAGCGAAAGTAGAGCTGGTCAATTACACGCTCGTTACTGTCGTCACAATTGTCAGTCACAATAATTTTTTTTTCTTGGTCGTTTTCTTTTTCATTTTCATCATTTCATCTGTGGGGAAATTTCAACCGCAGAATTTTCACTCTGTTTTTCTGCGGTCGAGAAATGGGAGTGACGTACTTTTCTATTCCATCGATTCTTTGTTCAGTGAATTGAGCAAAGTAGCTTGACATTAGGTTTTTATATTTAATAATGGAGATTGAGAGAAGAGTCTTTTTTTGTGGTGAATTTATAACTCGTTGTCTGGGTTCTTATCCTCGGGTTAATTGTTCTCTTGAGGGCCGTTTGATGATTGAATTAAACACACGTTTGTGAGAGAGTACTTGGTTTATTAGTGGGGGTGAGGGGGGGCTTTTTGGTGTTGGTGTTGAGAAAAGGTCAGAATGCAAAAGCAGTAACTCTTGGGATGATCTAAAATAAACCGCCAGATGAAGGAGCCAGAGGAGCCAACGAACTCGTGTGATCCCATCACCTAAATCTCTTTAAATCAAATTATCTAAACAGACCTCTAAACACATGGTTTTTCGAGCTAAATGGGGAACAATTGACTTCCTCATTCAGAGGATTGCTCATTTTTGTAATTGAACTCTTGATTTATCACTCCACAAAACCGAAATTTCATTTTTACCAATTTCTATGAATTCCAATTTTGCAATTGCCATGAATTTTTATTTTTCAATTACTAAATCATCTACCTGTTGATGAAATCTGATGAAACTTTTCTAATGTAGTATTATATAAAGATTATAAATTATTTAGAGCCCTGGGGGAGATGGAAATATTTTTTTTTCGGGGGATTGAGCATCGGTTGACTTATCAAAGGGGAAAAATTGTATAAAAATATGGAAAAAATCGGTAAAAAATCAGGATGATGGGGGAATATCATCAGTGATGGAGGGGAAGTCCTGCCCCGACGCAGACCGGCTGTTTCCCCCTCCAACAATTTCAAACAACACCCGTTTCAAACTGTCCTTCCCCTTCTCTTTGAATCAGTCGTTTCACTGCTGTCGTAGTACTCGGATGTTTCTGTATTACCAAATAGCCTTCCCCCTGCGAAGACAATTAAAATAATTAAAAACACCAGAGACAATCAGAACTTAACAGACGAAAATATTTGTTCCACTCGTTGAAGACATTTTGTCCTGACGGATATGTCAATCTCTTTTGCATTTTTTCGGTGCATGGGCCGGAAATACCAGACTTCAATCAATTATTGAATATTCATGGTACCGGATGCACAATTTCAATTATGAATATTTATTGTTGTTTATTATTACTTCGGGACTCGGTGTTGTTTCAATTGTGTGACGCCATGTTCTAGTGACCACTCGACCACGTGGTGATTATTTTACGTTTATTTTTCTGGTGGCATCAGGCGAATTTATTGATTTTATTTATCATGGAGTGATTCGTGAGACGTTGGTAGAACTGTTTTAATGGTTTTTCAAAATATCGAGATGAGGAATCCTGGATTCCTCCTGGAGGATCCTCGGCATGGATATGCACAGTATATCAGGTTGGTTGTGAATATTTCATGAGTTACGAAAGAATTTTTTTTTCTTCCACTTGACTCATTTTGGGGCCTCATTAATGAATTAATGATTACGTGAGAACATTCTCGGAATTTTTGGAGGTCATAGGATTTTTTATTGAATTATTGCTCGAGGGGTTTTGCAATGCGCATTCAATTTGTTGTTTGATATTTTTTTTTTTAAATTGTTGTTTTGAGATGTTGGGGATAATTCAATGTTTATGGAGATTGTCTTGGTATTTTCTGGGCGAATAATTGGCGGGTGTCATTGATTTTGCAAGGTGTTTTCGAATGCTTCAAATAAAAATTTTAATGAATCATTCTCGAGTTATTGGTTACTCTGTTCCGAAATCACTCGACTTTCGCTACGACCTTACACGCTCGGCTACACCTCAGGCACTACTTTTAGTTTTTATCTTAGAAAAAAATTCTTCACTGAAAAGTACAATTCAGAAGAGAATTGGCCGAGTCTAGATGGAATTTTACATTTTTATTGATTATCGATTTATCCCAATAACTATCGATTTTTCAGTGAAATGGTGGAGAACATTTTTGTAGCTTTTTAGATTCCCGAGAAAAAAGATGATCTGATATTTTTTCCTAAAATCAATAGTTCTCCTAAAAATTGATTCAGTATTAAATTTGCAAATCGGAGCAAATCAAATCCACCTTTTTTCACAATCCAGAATCTATCTCGATAACCATCGATTTTCATCATAAATGCTAGATAACTTTTTTGTAGCAAATTAAATTCTAAAGAAAAAATCATTCTTCGTATTTTCTCGTACAACCAATAGGTTTCGAGATTAACCCATATTTATCACACGTATATAAAAAAAATTGGTAACAGCATAAAATAGAGGTGTTCCCAGTGGATTTTAAAGTCTGAAGCTCTTGGTTGACGTTTTTTTTTCTTCCTTTTGAGCCAGAGATTCCTCTCTCACGTTTTTCTCCCTTTTCACCATGGAGAAACGTGTTGTATAGGGCCACGTGTCTGCAAAAACGGTCCTGAGGGGTGAGAATAGAAGAGTGGATCCCAGCAACCGGCGGAAGGTCGCAGCCTTGTTTCCTTTGTGTTCGAAAAATGTCAGGGTGGGGGGAATATGATTAGAGAGATGAAGTGGAGACCTTGAGCCCGATTTTCCCCTGTAGAACGTAACTGGTAATTTTTTTTTCTCCTCGAGCTTTTTTTTATTCTTCTCGTTTCGATTTGTAAATGATCGGGCACTTGTCAATTGCTGGAAGAGAAGGTCAAAAGTCAAATGCTCGGATACCGATTTCTTCAACTTAAATTCACTCCCCAGACCTCTGAGTGTGACCCTTTTATCTAGAATTTATCTATTCATTAATTCGTCGTTATCGTTTGTGTATGAATTTTTTATCTTTTGTTATTCATAAATTCACTCGTTTGTATTCCATTTGGTTTTTTAATTTGGGTGGAGAGAAATTTTTTGTGGGACTTGATTGAGGCGGAGAAAATGATAGAATCGATTTTCCCAGAGGACGTTGACCGTTTTACGATCCTAGGAACTCCCTAGCCAATATCTCGTTGTATAGCGATAGTTTCGATGTTGTGGCTCCTGGTTTCCAAGCAACGATTCCTCAACAATTCCTCAAACGAGCTGATGCCTCAACTCTAGGATACGTGAGAGGAATTTTTGTCCTCTGCCCCTCGTTCCCTCTCACGAAATTTCAGGATTATTTCTCGATCTTTTTTTTTTACTTTATCCTCGGATGAATGTATAAATATTTGCACTGTCTTCCCTTCCTCGGTAATCATGACCGGGGAGAAAACGGTTTAAAGACCTGCTACGAGAGCTCGAGTGAATACCGAACAGCTGCATTCTTAGACCTGGAAATACTTGGACATCGGGGTCTAGGATTTTCTACTGTTATTTTCGTGAAGATCTTTTTTTCACCGGGTGAATTTCATTTTACGATTTTTCGACACTGGGAAAATTTATTTCAATCCATTTTACATTCTACAAACTTCAAGTTCTTCGGACAATTTTTTTTCAACGTTTTTTGACGTCAATTATTCTGAAAATCATCAGCTTTAAACAGAAACATCAAGAGACATTTTTTCTCGGCAATTGTATCCCCTAGATAAAAGTTCTCTATCATTTTTATGTAGAACCCATATTTTTCGATTAATCTACAATTTTTTATCGCGACGATGGAGATAAAATTTTCTTCCATGACAGCCGGACACTTCATAATTCATTCATGAGGATTAACTCGCAATATCGGAGTTCGATGCTTCAAAAGTCTCGTTTGTTATCCCCTTGTAAAAATACCAATAAAGCCTCCATCTATGGTGGAGCACTGGGGACAGAATACACTGTGAACGCTTCCATAAATCCTTTTATCACGAACGGGTGATCCACTAATGCGATTGTGCAATAGGCCCCTTGCAGTGCTGTTCAATGGGGAGAAAATTTTCCCCTTTCGCCCCCTCTTCATATTTTTTTTCCTCTTGGTAATCACAGGGCATGGATAAGCAGTCTAGAAAACAAAGAGACGCTGGCAAAAGGGCAGCAGACGAAGATATCGATCGACAAACCCTTTTACAACGTGCATCAGACCCTGACACTCAGTCGGCTTTAAATTTCATCCCTAAATCATCGGAATCAGATTTTTCTTGAAAGTTCAATAATTTGCATCTAAATTATCCACTAAATCCATTTTATTATTTAATTATGTCATTATATAATTTTTTCTGTCGATATCTTCTTCGATCTAAACATTTCCTGGATTTTTCAGGAAAGAGTTTCAGCAATTTGATACTCTTGATTATTTCGTGATGATTGGGAAAACAATTCTTCGTGACGATATGTTCAATATTTTGAATTAATGTTTATCGTGGTTTTTTTTTTATTTTTGCAGTTTGAGCGAGTGTTATTTTGCGGGAAAAGGAGCAGCACTGATACTACCACCGACTGAGCGAGCAAGACCATCAAGAAGAGTATCAGCAGCAGGATGCGATATTCAACAGCATCTCCAGTCTATGTTCTGGCTGCTGAGACCAGAAGAGACCCTCAAAATGGTGAGTCCAAATAATTTATCGAACGCGAGGTGGACAGGGATTTTTAAAAATTTCAATTTCACTCTCAAGTCAACAATTTTTTATTCCGCAATCGTCAGAGCAGTTTGAACGAAAACAATCACTCAAATCACCACTTAATTCAAACCCTCGAGGTGTTTTACATTTACGTAATCAACGAAATCACAGTCTTATCGATTTCCAGCATCTCTTACTGAACTGCTTTGCAAAGCAAATATCTCAGCCTGGGGTAATCGGAATAATTGCCTGAGTAACACAATTATTATGAAACTCAGGTGTGTCCAGATGTTTCTCAATTGCAACCGAAAAATAAGACAATGGGAGGGGACTATTGGTTATTGTGAGTTTCCGGTCTACAAAAGTCTTGATTCACTTGAATTTCGAAATCTCTCTGGTCCAATGAGTTTATGATTGATTGACTGATTGAACCCGGAATCATATCCGCTTGCATTTCACTCGGTTAAATTTCTTCTAATTAATGAAAAGCTGTTATTTTAATTGCGGAATTCTGGCCAGTCGGGATTAATCCTTTGCTATTTGTTGGCTAACTTTTTAGTTGCCTCGGATATGTTATTAGAGAAAAATGTGGAATAGAAACATATGATCCGGTGGCAGTTTCACTTGGTGAATTCGTATTTTTTTTTTTAAACTCTTGACGTCCGCTAGTGTAAATCTACTCACTTTCATTCGTTTCGTCTCGGACGATGAGCGCTGGGGATTACGTTGCGACACTTTCACGAGGATAATTCATTAAAATATCTGAGTTTTAATATTTTTTTAGGGAAATTGAGACTCTGATACTCGAGTCAATCATCTGGTGGATTTGTTTTTTTAAATAATCGTTTTGCGCTGATCGATAGCTTTAGGGATCAATCGAATTTCACGTGCAATTATTATTGAATAGTTAAATTACTTTTTAGTGAAAAAATATAGACGGGGGCTTGAAATGTAATGAAGATTAGTGCTGCTGTCTTTCTCATCGATTGAATAAAGGATCACGTTCACCGAGTGACTTTCACGTTTAAGATTTTTAAGTGCTCGGGGTAGAAGAGGTTGAATCCTTGGTGGTTTTGAAATATTGGGATGTGCACGTGTATCGAGAAAGGGAATAGACGTTTGGCCTCGATTCCCTGGTGAACCAGTGGATTTAACCGCTGAATCCTTAGACTCAATCGATATCCGATATTCCTTGGCATTTCAAAATGTTACCTGCTATCTGGCACAACACTGGATACTCCTCAATATCTCTATCACTCGTTTACCATTTGAATTCACTTCTATCTTTATTATATCCATTAAATTTATCATAACTATATTTTTACGGTTAAATTCATTTATCAATTCGAGATTAGCATCTTTAATTTGGATAAATCCATCGAGTTTAACATTGAATCAGTTATTTATCTAGAATTTCTAGCCAAAATCGGTAATTCCCGTCGTGGTGATCGTCTCCTGGTAAAAATACACAGGAAATAAATTTTATTTGCGCTGGATAAACTGGTTTTACTCGCGTTAATCTACAACTTTTGAATTTTCCCCCCCACTATCTAAATATAAATATCCTCTAATTGGGTTAAAATCCAGTTCAGGATTCCCTCCATCAGCAGATTCCTCTGGAGATACTGGAGGTAGATCGCCATTTCTGCGGTTTTGAAGTAACTCTCCATCCTCCTTCTCTCTACCCCTCCAGCCAATCGTTTATTTATTTATTTATTTATTTTTTCGTCTCGGAGGCAGGTTGATCCCGGCATGAGTTTTTTATTGGGACAGACCTCTCCCGAGAGCAGCGGCTGGTTGTTGGACCGGTTGGCCTCCGTCCGTTCATTGGACCCTGATCGATGCTTCTTGCCTTTTCCTAGATACTCTACCTCTGCTATACCTATCATCATCATCATTCTCTCCCTCGTCTTTATCAGATTCAAATGATTTTTCATTTTTAGTCTCAGCGAGAGGCTTTATGCGCAGGATGTGCGTAACACGCATGAAATTTATTATTAGTTGAGCTAGGGGCCGGTGATACGTTTACATTAAATTTTATGACAATGGAAATCGCCTGGTGATTTCTCTTTTATTCATTACAAGTCCTCGACGCAAGTCCTACCGGTCATGTCGGTTTCAATTGCTCATTTGATCGCTGCTAATTTAGGTTGAATTCATATTTTTATATGATTTTAATAGTTAATTATTGTGTTATGGATATATGGAAATATGAGAATATGGAAATATGGAAATATTTGGGTGGAATAATTCGGTGGAAATAGCGGATGATTGAATATGGAATAGCTCGAGTGTTACGATTACGACGCAATGATGCGTGTCAGGGAAATGGGTCTCTCGGTTAAGATCGTGTTTCATTATTGTTAACAATAATGATCACTTGGGTGGTGCGGATGAATTGCTTTCTTCGGGGTTTTTCGTGTAGGCGTTGGTAGGTCACTTCCGTTTTGAATAAAGTGGCGGTGGTGGTGGTGGTGGTGGTGGTGGTGGGGGGGTAGGAAGTACTCTCGATGAGCTTAATGTCAACGGTGTCGGGTAATTTGACAACTGTGGCCTCTTTTCACGCCATCAAAATACTCGGTGGGCAAAATTGAAAGTATGTTAATGCCTTGGGACAGTTTATTGCCGTGAATGTGGATTTTTCGACTCGTCAATTGTTAAAGTGTCAGTCGTGTCGACAATTACAATGGGTAACGGTTCTCTCTGGGTTAGGGGAACTCCAGGTGAGACATTGATATTTTTTTTCTGTGGAATAATCGGGGGATTTGGGTCGATGTGTCGGGTTTATGCAGTATTTTTTTAGCTGATTATCGTGTTGGGTACTTGATGCAATTTTTTTTCGGGGTATTGGAATTTTTATTTAGTTTTTTTTTGGGAGATTATCGTTTTGGATTCGTTTTTAGTGGGAGGAAACACTCGATGGGGATGGGGTTTATTATTCAGTGGTAACGGTCATTAATCAACCCCTGCGACGGAGAAGTTGTTCGGCTAGTGATGATTAACGGGTAACTTCGATATTTATATGCAGGGAAAAATCGCGTCTGTTGATTCAGGGCACAACTATCGACTTTGGACTCTTGTTGCTAAGTCGAGATCATTCCATTCGTTTTAACGAGTTAATGGAGCAACGGATTATTCTTTTACTCACGCCATTTGCAATAATTTTCAAATTACTGTACGAATTTAGCAAGATTTAAAAATTCAAAAAATCTCAAAATTCGCACATTCGCTTTATTTTATTTTTTTTTTATTTAACATAATTAAATTATTAAATATTCAGCAGTGAGAATTGACAAAAATTTTTTTGAAAATTGAGACTTAGACTGTCGGTTTGATTTAGGAGAAAAAAATTCAGGGAACTGCTTCCTCTGTAATTAATAACTGAACGTCAGCGGAGATTTCGTTACAAATTTATCATTCGCGCATGAAATAAAGAAGACGTTAGCCTCGGATTTCGCTTACGTAATTCACTCGGTATCAATTTCTGCTTTCCACCAATTGATCTTCACGATTTTGTGCACTTTCAATACGGAAGAAGGAAGCTGCAATCCTCCTAACAGAGTGAATACTAAAATCATTACCAGCATCGGTGGTATTTATTGCTTAAACCGTTTATGCTAGATTAATAGGATAATTCTGGTTTTATCTTTGGATTCTGTTACGTCGATTTGGTGTTTCCCTGTGGATAAATATAATAAAAAAACATTTGTTGTGGTGATAAAACAGCGAATAGGGGCTAACCAGGAAATCCTGTCGAAGCAAATGACTTCCTGCGACAATATCATTTTTTTTATTCTTCTCTACATTTTTATTTTTACTATTCTTTCACTTTTTACGCTAAACTTAATTGCTTGGTGGATTAAACTATCATTTTATGTAATGATGATGGCTCGGGAGATTGGGGAGGTAATTGGAATTATTTTTTAGTCTTCCTTATGAATTTTGCGATGTGAGAAGTGAAACTGAAAAAATATCTTCTCACCTTTTTCCTCAACTCAATTATTTTTCATTTCACCGTCTATATTAAATTAATATTCACTTAATTCTTAACAATTAATTAATCTAGTAAAAAATTGAAATTTAAATATAAACGATATGAATGAACGAAATGTTGATTGTATATTGAATAATTAGGGGTTTGGAGGAATTGATTGAATTGAATGAATAATTAAGTAATTTGTTGGGAATGGAGAAAACTAATGTTGATGTAATAAATAATCTGTTGCAGGCTGTTAAATTGGAATCAGTTCATCCGGGAAGAACGCGTTACCTAGTGGTTGTTTCATGCAATGGTAACCAGGATGCAGAGGAGAGCTGCCTCCTTGGTATTGATTGTCATGCACAGGCGACCGTTGGTCTCGTTCTACGAGTGCTCGCCGACACGGCTATAACCCTCGACGGTGACGGGTCAGTTGATTATTCTTTATTTCACTGAATATATGTGGATTTTTTTATTATTATATCACATGATAGCGCAATCTGGGTGATTTAGCGTTGAATAATGGAGGAGAAATTTCAATTCCTCGGTGATATAACAGAATGGATAATCAATAGGTGGGGCATTATGTACTCGAGATTATTAGTATCATTGAGATTATTTCTACAATATTTGCAATTCCATTAGTATTGACAATTCTTTCGTCGAATGATCGGTCAATCAGAACGATTTTTTTAAATCAATTTTTCCCTTTATTTCCATGAATTACTGCTTCAGATTTAATTGTTATTAATAATTTAAATTGTAAAGTGAAGGATTGGATGAGTGGGGGAAATAATTATGAGTAATCGATCAATCAGAACGATTTTTTAATTAATTTTTCTCTTCATTTCCATGAATTACTGCTTCGGATTTAATTGTTATTAATAATTTAAATTTAAAAGCGAAGGATTGGATGAGTGGGGAAAATAATTATGAGTAATCGATCAATCAGAACGATTTTTGAATTAATTTTTCTCTTCATTTCCATGAATTACTGCTTCGGATTTGATTGTTATTAATAATTTAAATTGAAAAGTGAAGGATTGGATGAGCGAGGAAAATAATTATGAATAATCGATCAATCAGAACGATTTTTAAATTAATTTATCTCTTCATTTCCATGAATTACTGCTTCGAATTTAATTGTTATTAATAATTTAAATTGAAAAATTAAGGATTGGGTAAAATAATTATGAATGAATTTGCAATTTGAATTTCGAGAATTGTTCGATGAAAAAAAAACTGATGACTCGCGTTGAGGTCGATTGATTGATAGTTATCGAACAGATTGATTGATTTTTATTGAAAATTCATGAGACTCCGGGTAGTGGGGATGGTGGTGGTAAAAAATGGAATAATCGGTGCCAGGCAGTCTGCAAATGACGAGTTGCTAAGACATACGGATCAAAAGAGGAAGGGGAGACGGTCACTTGGCGCGTTGAGATGTCAACGAACCCCGGGGTTCGCTCCGTTTCTTCTGGGGGTCTCATCGTCATGCGTTTAATTTCACATACATGCACGTACACATTTCCTTCTTGTTCATTTATGAGCGTGTAAATGACCCGTGGTAACGCATTGTGCATCTCATTCTCGGGGGGGATTTCGTGTCTCATCAACACCCGGGGAATTTTCACGGCTATTGTCTACCGAGATGAGGGCTTCAAGTTCATTTTTTATTTTTAGCTTATCCAAGAATTTCATCCGTTTTTGATAAATATTATAGTTTAATAATAAGACGAAAAAAATAATTAGTTCAAATCCATTATTTTCAATTTTTTTTTCATTAATTATTATTAAACGTTTTCTCAGATGTGAATCGGATGAATAATTCAATTGTTTATTACGAATTCATAAAACTGACATTTTTAATAAATATTACAGTTTAATAATAATACGAAAATAATAAATGAGTGGAAATCCATCATTATTTAATTTAATTAATTAATAATGATTTTTTAATTCATTTGTTGTATTGATTGAAATTGAAATAATATTGAAAATGGATTTGGAAAAATCGGGAATAGCAACAATTTTGAAATTATTCGGATTTTCGAAAAATAGACATTTTTACGAGTTTTTTTTTTGGGTTTTTCGGTAATCATTTGATGGTTGAAATGATGAGAATCGATTCATCACGATCTCTCTCAAAATTTCCAATTTCACCACGCAATACTCCGACATAACGCAGACCTTTATGTAACACGCGCACTCAGCCGCTCATACTCGGTAATTAGCCAGTGGATTCGATGCAACGGATGCCGTCGTAACTCCACTGCAATATACCATTGCATTAAACTCACGTTCGAATTAATTTATTTAACTGAAAACGAGTATACGACGAGTATGACCCGCGAATGAAAAAAAAAAAAAATCATTTTTTCGTTATCATTATCTTATTCATCGGAATTCCCATAAACCATCAGTTACCGTTGAATAATCGTTTATTTACGGTTCATTGTAATGAACAATCAAAAGAGCAGTTTAATGTTTCCTCAATTTCTCGTGGTGGTGCAACAATGCGGTTTGATTTTTGTATTTAACCGTTGAAATTCTTGATTAATGAACCTCAACGCGAGAGTTATTCTCTTCATGTTTTGGCCATGGGAAAAATCTCTGGCGGGGAGAAAAAAAAATTGATTGGGGGAGGGAGAAATTAAACGGGTAATAGTCGAGAAAGGATTGGAAATAATGGGCTTGAGGGTAATGTACCACCTACACACTTGACTGGCACTCATTTCCGGTTTTCGCTTTCCTTTGATTTTGCAGGGGATTCAGCGTCAGTGTATGCGGACGACAGCACATCTTTAAACCCGTCTCGGTGCAGGCTATGTGGTGAGTCATTATTATTATTATTAATATTTTTATTTGCAATCCGACGATATAATTTGAGGGGGCATTGAGTTACCGTTTTACTGAGATTTTTTTTATTTCGGTCATATCGAATTATTCAGCGCCCCAAACCGATACTGAATTTTCAATCTAAGGATCGATTTATCTCAGTTAATATCGATCTCACGTAAAAATGTCAAGAGAATTTTCTTGTCGGAAATTTAATCGGCTAGAAAACATTTCCTCACGGTGTTATTCTCAAATCGATAGTTTTCGGGATAAATTGGAATTTGCAAAGTAGGAAATTCGATCAATCTCATTTCAATTTATTATTAGGTAATTATTGGGGTTTATTGCGGTTTATTTATTGCTTAGGTAATTAAATGAGTGAATATTATTGCGTATTGGGAAATATGAAGTCTCATGAGTCTTATCTATTTCGAGTTTCTTTTGAATTCAATCGCCACTTGTTTCAACTGCATTTTCCATGGAAATGACCCGCACACGAGAACTCAGACTCATTGTTGGGGTATTATTAACAACAATTTGATAACTGTGACATTGAATGCGGAGAATGAGTAGAAGAGGATTGAGTAAATGCCGGTGGTTATGTGATGGACGTTTATGATAGTTCAGATTGAGAATGGACTGAGGGAATGGCGTAACAGAAATGAAGAGTAAAAATACGTGGAGATTATAAAAAATTGATGGATTTTTTTGTGACGTTTTACAACGAAAAAAAAAGTCCAGAATTTCTCAATTAATCGACGCTTTGAGCCAGTGGAGGGCTTTTAGTCCCGAAAGCTCCTGGGTATCTATTTTCGGATGATTGTGAATATAGAGTGGCCACCAGTTACAACCACGTGGTCTTCTTCAAAAAGGTGGGGTTTAGAGGGAAGTCCAACCGCCCGCGCCATTTATGGACCGAGATGTTTGCAAAGGTGTCATTATTTTTGGTCACCAGTACCTAAATAATTATTTTTTTCATCTCCACTAAAAATTCACGAATTCACCCCCTGAAAATTATTTCACGTCTATTTTGAATGATGAAAATGGGTCAGTCGAGCAATTATTACACCTCGAAGAGCATGTGTGTTTAATTCCGTTGTGTAATTACCGGTTTTTCTTTTTATTTTTTTGTTTTTCGTTTTGTTCCGCGAATCCTTTTTTTTTCCGGAGAAAAAGATAGAAAGAATGGCCTCCGGTGTTGGTCTTATCTCCTTTTAAAAATCTTGTGCAAAGAAGCCCGAAGCCTGGGCTCCGGTTGAACTGGAACGACCAGGAGAAAAAAAAAAATGGTTGAAAAAAAGAAATGAGAAGTACAATTTAATGCAGTGGCGAACTGGGCAGTGGGTCAGGCGGTCGTATCCCATTCACCAGACGTTAAATCATCTCGTGTGTTTGCTCAAAATGTCAGAGCAATTTTCCATTTCTCCAGTTTAATCCACACCTATTGAATTTATCGAGATCAATGAGTTTGGGAATTTAATTGAGATCCGGTGGAAAATGTTAATTACTAAATTGGGTTACGAATGTTTAAGCCAATGTGAATGATCTTCTCCCAATTTTTTTATCTCACGTTTTACGATCGTCTGGCGTTGGATCTCCAATTTTTCTTATTCTTTTTTTTTTTAAATTCTCCACCCATTGCCAACGGGTATTACACGATATTCCGGTTGGATACCGTTAGGAGACGTACGTGAACCTCTCAGCAGACTGTTATCTCTTATGGGTATTTTCGTAATAAAGAAACTCATATTCACGAGTCGTTGAATGATTCAGCGGTTGAAAAATCCGGGGATGACTGTAGAAAAATCTTCAAAATGCTTTTCCATAAAAAAGGCTGAATTTAGTGAATAATTACTCGAGGATTTTTCTTTGAAATGTTTGAAAGTCTCGAAAGGAAAATGCCGTTTTGTTCAGGAAATCAGATTTTTCGACAGCGCAATGAATAAATTATGGGAGTGGAGAATTAATGAATAGTCAGGTGCACAGGTGTTCTCTGGTGACACCTACGTCTGAAGACCCACTGACCAACACTATATATGGACCCAGGAGTCTGCAATATCACCCCCTGGCACAGCTGAAACACATGTTTAAAAAGCTGCTACCGATTTCATTACGACTTGGCAGAAATTAGACAGAGTAGTTTCGATGGAGTCAGTGGTGATACGTTAAATAAAAAATAATTCATTCCCCGATATTGACTGAGGGCTCTATCATCTAGGTTATCATCATCCATCACTGATCTATTCACGGGGTATCAGATGATAATTTGGGATAGACGATTGATCGATTCGGTAGATGCGGAAGTGTTGTTGGAGAAAATTTTGACAGTTCGTGGAAACACTGATTCTACGAGGTCGCTGAGACCTCGATGATCCCAGAATAGATGAGGAATAGTTGGAGTAGTCTTGCTACCGCATCTACAGGAGTTTCTCGTATTTTCATTGCCACTAGCTTTAATTCGGTGGATGACGATTGGGGAGGGCTACTCAATATCACGTGTCTTTTCAAACTCGTCTGGTCACTAGTCTCGTATTTGTTTTAATAATTAATTATGGAAAAATATCTAGAAAGTTGAATTTCGTTGCGAAATGAGACAAGTCGAATTTCAGACTTGATTTACAGAGAAGCTCTTCGTTCTACGAGGAAATGTCAAGGGACTTTTTTTGTAGGAAATTTAATTAGCTACAAAAAAGGTTCCCAAGTCTTTTTTCTGAGATCGGTGGGTGTTGAGGTGGAGGGTTAAAATCAATTGGACCGGTGCGTTGGGGATTTCGGTTGAATCTCTGATTTCATGATTGAACCCCTGAATTCGCTTTCTCGTGCCCTTGAATCACCTAGAAAGACGAGAAATTACGTTGACCCAGGTCTATCACACGTCCACGCAAATGCCAAGATCAGATGAATCACGTGCAGGTGAAAGTTAGACGTCAGGTCGTTGGTGTCACGCTTGAAGAAAAGAGAGGAAAAAAATTGCCAGGCAAAAAAAAAAATAGTCGCAGTAGGTCGACGAATAATATGGAAGAAGTGTTTCTTTGTGCTTCTTCGGGATGTCTTTGTTCCCGGGTGCCACTCCTTCTGGCGAAAATTCAATGGAATAACCGAGAGAAAAAATTATTTTTGCAAAACAGTAAAAAGTCCATTACTAGGTGCGCAACGATTGAAAAATAGAGACAATTGACTTTTGTCTATGGCTTATAGTTATTGCGGCACTTGAAAATGGAAGAAAAAATTGAAAAATTGCCCTTTTTTTTTATTTAAAAATTTAAAATGGCAACTTTTCACATTCCTCGTCATTCCCAGCCGTTCAAGGCCAACCGCCTTGGAGAACACACGGGATTCCAGGCAAACACTGATTTATCGTTGCATCCAGCGATCGTGTAATTCTTTATTTTTTATTTTTTCACTATTTTTTTTAGTATTCCGTGGTAATTTTTTTTTTTCCTGTCTGCATATTCTCTCCTGAGTCGATTTGTTGCGTGTTTCGAGTGGTCTTGACCTCGCATACCGGTTAAAAAAATATCGTTTTGACGTTTTATTGTTTTGGATAGTAATAGTAGATGATAAAGCGATTTTCCCTGAAAAATAGCTAGAAGAAAAAGTGAAAAATTCCGTGGTGCGCGGTATATCTGGGAAACTACCGGTCGGAATCCACTCTGCAATATCTCATTTTTAAGATAATTTCATGCTCTACAAAAAAATATTTAACGAATTTAGCGCTGGAACGCCTCATTTACGGGATAATTACTATTAAAGCCGAAATGAAAGTACGCGATTTCGCAGACGATTGAATAATGAGTAAAGATTTTGCGCGTAATGGAGTCATTGGCTTGATCATTAATTCAATTGGATCTGGAGGACGCTATCATTCAATGAGCATGCCCCCTGATGCTGGAAGGACGTAAGTACGTCGTACGTTAATCGCGAATGGTAAAAGGCGCAATTAAAACGCGGAAAGATCGTAATACAATAGTTGCGGTTGTCCCAGGAAGTCGTGAATTCCATCACAAACCTCAAGCCATCCCCACGGACTATCCAATCACGTGGCCTTTAACTATCCACAGAGTCCTGATGCATTTGCTGTTCTATTAATTCTATTACAATTTTTTTATTGTCACACTGACGACAGTGGGTGTCTCGGGTATATCTGATTACAGAAAAATTATCGTGTTACGAGTGAGGAAAATGCGTCAGCGATAGCTTCAGCTTGCGCCAGAGTTTTCACAATGTTTTTTTTTTTCTTTTTCTTTTTTTCTGTTTGAGTTACTGCGTCTCGAGGATGTCTGGGGATAAGTTTTTATTTTCTCGTGGTTGTACTATTTCCCACGGAATTTCACGAGAAATTTTTTTTATTGTTAGAAAATGGGTATTTCACAGGTCAGCACTGCAGACACTTCACAAAGTATCGAGCAAAGCGAGGGAGCAGAATTATTTTGCTGGTGGTTTGTCACACGATTGGGTCAGCTACTATGAGAAACGCATTGCAAGTGATCGCTCGTGTCTCAACGAGTGGAATGCTATGGATAATCTTGAGTCGAGAAGGCCACCATCGCCCGACAGTGTTCGCACCAAGTCAGTATTTATTCTGGCATTGATTATATTAAGTCAATGATTATTGCTTTAACGATAGATATTTTTTATTTTAATCAGACCTAGGGAACGCGAGGAGACTGAGCGTGTCATTCGTGCAACACTCAAAGAGATAATGATGTCGGTGGATCTTGATGAAGTGACATCCAAGTACATACGGGGAAGACTTGAAGAGCAGTTGGACATGGATCTTGTTGAGTTTAAGCCATTTATCGATCAAGAGATGCTGATTATTCTTGGCCAGATGGACGCACCCACCGAGATATTCGATCACGTATACCTGGGTAGCGAGTGGAATGCCAGTAATCTCGAGGAATTGCAGAAGAATGGAGTCCGTCACATCCTCAATGTAACACGAGAGATTGACAACTTCTTTCCTGGAATGTTTAACTACCTCAATGTACGTGTATACGACGACGAGAAGACAGATCTGCTGAAGCACTGGGACGACACATTCAAGTACATCACGAAAGCGAGAAAAGAGGGCTCGAAAGTTCTGGTCCACTGCAAAATGGGGGTTTCGCGTTCAGCATCAGTGGTAATAGCCTACGCCATGAAGGCCTACAACTGGGATTTCTCCCAGGCGTTGAAGCACGTTAAAAACAGGCGCAACTGCATCAAACCCAATTCGTCGTTTCTATCCCAGTTGGAGACGTATCAGGGAATTCTTGATGCCATGAAGAACAAGGAGAGACTTCAGCGATCCAAGTCGGACACAAATTTGAAGTCACCCACACGGCTACACAGATCGAAAACTAATCCAGACGATGACAAAACAGTGCATCCCAGCTTGACGTCTTCCTCAGGGACGTATCTGAAGAAACGAGGCCAGAGGCCGAAGAGTTGGGAGCCACAGGTCGAGCTCCAGGATATTCTTCCAGCAGTTCCTCTCTCACAGTCTTTGGAGAACATTGAAAAAGCATCTGGAGTCTCCAGGGAGGACCTTCTGAGGCCCCAGAGTAGCCAGAAACAGGGGAATGTTCTCTGTCTGATTCCCTGCACCAATGGCCAGTCGTACAGCGTATCACAGAACCAAATAGTTCATCTGGAGGGCTCGGAGACACCTACCACTGCCTCGAAAACACCCAAAAAATTCACCTATCCCTTGAAGAAATCACCACAGGGGCAAAAACGCCGAGGACTTGTTCTCAACCTGACGAATCAGTTCGAGGCAGCTGGCAGCAAGCCAGGAACTCCTGAGGATGCTCAGTTATCCCCAGAGCTCGAGCAAAAGCATATTCAGAGAAATGATAAAGAAAATGCCCTGAAAAATTCGCTGAACGAGGAGAAAACAGCGAAAGCTCTTCAGGGTAATGAGGGATGTTATCTACGAGGGGTGGATGACACCAGGAAGCTGGATGTGTCCCAGAAGTGGTCTCACACACCCAGGAAATCATCGAAAGCCGACAAATCGCCGACTCCATCGAAGCAGAAGCAAGAGCACAAGGAGAGAATTGAGAATAACTCGGAGAAACCTCAGAAGAGGAAATTGAAGAAGGAGGATCCCTTCTCGGCTCACGTCGACAAAGTATTTGACAGAGAGGAGAGACGAGAGCCACCGAGGGACTCACCGAGTCGCCAGAGCTCCTGGAGCTCTTATGATTCAGCTGTTGGTCTTGATACGAGTGTTCACACGTCCTGGGGGACATTGCCATCGAGAAACAGCTCGTGGGGATCTTATGACATGAGGGGAGAGCCCAGGGATCCTCTGGGATCTAGTGGATTATTTCCGTATGACAGGGAGGAGATACCCTGGCATCCGGGAACTGTCAAGAGGACGAAACAGAAATTGGAGGAGGGAAATGTCAAAAGAGTTTGCACACAGGTGGAGGATGATAAGAGGGATGAGTCGACGACTGATGGCCTACAGGAGGATATCCTGGGGTTCAGAACGTCACCGACACCCAGGAGACGTGGAGAGATGAAGGGGGAGTCGAGGGGGATCGAGATCAGGGAGAGAAATCATCAGGTGGACAGATTATCCACCTCAGCACCTGTTCCCTCGTCACTTCTCGACCACAATGGCCTTGGGAATGCCCTGAGGACGTGTCGATCTGAGAGTGAGACCTCAAATCAGGTTGTTGACACCACCCAGTGTCCATCTGTTAAGCACCACAAAATGATTCTCGAGAATCTGAGTAAAACCAAGAGATTTTTCCCTGGGGAGGAGTCACCTGAGGTCATCTCATCGTCATCGTCGTCGTCATCGTCAGAGGGACATCGGGGAATTCCGGGAATTGTTAAGAATCTCAAGAAGGAGTTTGAGGCGAAATCCACGAGATTTGAGAGGTCACCGGAGGGTAATGACGAGGAGAAGTGGCCCAGGAAGGAGAAGACGAAAGTCCGTAGTCTTCCATCGTCACCAGTTATCGCTCACAATGATGGTAAGATCAGGGGTAAGGAGGAGGAGAGGGATGGAAAAGTACTCAAGAGTAATGAGGATCTCTCGGTGAGGGTACTCGTTGATAAGTATGAAAAACCTGGTGTGAAGATGAGGGGTAATGTTCATCCACCTGCTAAGAGTAGAATTGCAACACAGGAGTTTGCCAGGAGATCTGCTCCTGTTATGATGGCAACTGGATTTATGGAGGAGGGGGATAGGGGTAGACCACCTGTTGGATGTCAGGGGGTCATCGCCACGGTTGTGGCCAAGGCTGCCAGTAAAAAGCAGCAGCAGCATGGGAGGACTCATCCACTCACTAGGCTGCAGGTCAGGCCTAGGCTGGGGCCTCTCTATAATACTATGTAGATGGGGCGGGGAGGGAGGTGAGGGGGAGGTAAACCTCTTGGGTCACCCTTTGGTCCCGGGTTTATCGGAATTTATAATGAGAGAATCTTCCAAACCCCTGACTCTACTATTTCTAGATTTGTTTTTTTTATTCATGCACCAGCCGCTCGAGGGTAATCCATCGATTTTTCGGCGAATATCTTCGGATGTGGGGGAGATAGCGAAATTTTTGTCTGGAGGTATTTTGGAGAGGGAAATTGCACCTGCAAAAAATGTCTCCAGGAAAATTTTGATTGCTCTCTTTGTTTTGGAGATATTTCGTTAGATCGGTTTGTTACACTTTAACGATTTGTGGGTGAATTTTGGAGGGTCTTCTTGAGAACGGGGGACTTACTGTTTGTGTGATCTCTTCAGCGCCATTTTAAAATGCACGAATACTCAAGTATGGGCGTCCATACGCTAGGTAATTAGTACAATTAATGGTTCAGTCTCTCCCAGGTAAAGTCAGGGAATCGAAAGAAAAATTCGTCTGGTGTATGGACTGGGGAGGAGTCGCTTTCGCTTACGATTTTTTTTTTTCACGATTTTATTGATCTTTTACTGTTCATCGAGTCTCGTTTTCAAGTGAAGTAATTAGTTGGCAATCGTTGGGTTTTCGTGTCGATAAAAATTGGAATAATTCGTGAGCACTCGGTCAGGCTGTGAACGATACGTCTGGGGCTCGCACCATGTGATCAAAAACTCTTAATGTTTTCATTGTCCCGATAAATTAGTGGAATAAATCGAATGAGACTCGGATGAAGGGGAAAAGTCAGTGGGGAATCGGAAAAATATTGGGTTATTTATAGGGAATAATAATTGTGATCAGAGGCACTTGGAAGTGCTCGTGCGAGCATATGTTTAGTCTTTTTTTTTTTCAATTCTTTTTAAGCTTCAGAAAATAAATGAGTGATCGATGGATTTACGTGTAAATAGGAGCGAATGTGATTGTTATCACCTACTCTTTGTACTCCTTAGGTTAATTATGATTGTCGTGGAAAAATGGCTTTCGTGTTGATAAAAAGTTGTATAGATGTCTGTAGCAAAGAGTGAACGAGAAAATGCTTAGTCGATTTTGAACATGACAATTTATTTTTTTTTTCTTAGAGAAATTTCATACGACGTACAATCTTTCCTAATAGGAGGTGAAGGAATATTTTTCGATGACATATCAGATTCCTTTTCTTTTTGACGAGGAAAATTCAGTAAACAAAAACATTGAGGATGGAATTTCGAGATAATTTAGGTGTCGAATAGAGGCACTATATTTTACTACAAAAATTGAAAAAAACTGATAAGATTGACTTTCTTCAAAACCAAAAACACGACACTTTTGTACCCTAAAAAGAATTCTCTCTCTTTTTTTGTATTTTTTTTCTCTCATTTTGTTTTTGTTGTAATCACTTGAACGGACACTAATCAACTGCGTCTGTTGTCGACTGATTAGTTTAAGTAGTTTGTCGTAACGAAATGATTTTTCTTCTCTCGATTGATATTCGTTTCTCTCAATTTGTTTTAATTTTTTTTAATGAGACCCACCAATGATGAGGGATGAGTGAGGATTGAGTTGTCGGGAATTCTGTGAGAGAAATTGGTTCTCTGCCAAAGGAAATGGAAAAAAGAGGAGTGAGGATGAGTGATGAAAATACCGTGCGTTGTTCTGTATAAATTTTGTACCATAGTTTGTATGAAATAAAGAAAAATGATAATACATTGTTTATTGCTTGGAAAATGGAGAGATTTTATTTGTACTGGTGATGTATTAATTTTTTCTTCCAGTTCTAGATATTTGATTCGACTTCGAAGACCGTTTTTCCACTGCAGAAGGCGATCCTGGGAGGTGGAGGGCGTCTCACTGATTTTTTTTGGAATTTGGAATGGGGAGGGCCTACATCAATGTCGTACACCCCTCCCGGCAGCTTTTTTATCGCAGATAAAGTCTACGTAACAAGAAATTATTAATTCCCCTCGGAAGCCAGAATTCAAAAGAATTCAACGAATTAATTCAACCTTTTTTGAGGTCAAGTCGATAATTCGGAAGAGATTGGCGTCACATCCTCCACAACTAGCAAAAGAACTTCCGACGAATTTCCCAGTGTAAAGAAGAGACTCCCAGGGGTCAGGCTCCAGGGTATCAATAAGTTTCCCAGTTCCATAGTCCCACAGTTTGATGGGATCTTGTTTTGACCAAGAGCAAGTTAGAATCTGCGAAGAAAATTTTATGAATGTGCAATTCATAGTCTAAGCTGAGAAATAAGATACTCCCAAATTTTTTTTAACGCTCTTTGAGAGGAAAACGCATTTGGACGTGGAATTGATAGATTTTTGTGAACCTCTTTGCCGTCTTGACTGATATCGATACTATCTCCGCAAATATGGACTCCACTTATAAATCTGGAGGCGTGGGGCTCTCGGATATCCCAGAATTGGATAGTGTCGTCCCAGCCGCCGCTTATGATCTCGTGAGAGGATCGGGGATTGAAGCACGCTGCGAAAACCCGAGATCTGTGACCGTTCATTACGTCTGGAGAATTGCTACGATGTACATTTATTTATTTCATCATTTATTCATAATTGTGAATTTATTTTCAGTATTCATTTCACCTCGCCTGCAGTATTCGCTCTAAGGCTTTTGTCTCCTCATCGTAGACACATAACTTCGTGTCGTCCCCGACAGTCACGAACTTGGGGAGAGTCGGGTGATAAGCGAGACCGAGGGTCTGTCTATTCTCGCGAATTGTGTAGAGACAACGGCCTGTGGGGTAGTGCCAGCATTTCACGCACCCGGTGACGTCTGAACATCAATACGACTAATAGCAATCGCGAAAACTAATTAACGTATCGATTGGAGAACCCCGAGCACTTGAAATCAACGCCAAAGGGGTAAATAAATTCAAATATATCTTAACAGTTGTACATTTGTTAATGAATGCACTGTAACTTCATACGAGCAGGGAAATTTTAGGCAAAAATTTTTCAACCGTTTTCAATTAATTCAAAAATTTCTAAATTTCCGTTAGATTCGGGTAATAAAGCGGATAAAATTGATTACAAGTTGCGGTCAGGGTTTGAGTCACAGGAAGTGCTCCCTGCACCGGTCGGTGTTTAATAGAAGTTGTGGTGCCAGGATTTTGGTTAATTTCCTCGTCCCTGAGGGTTCCCTCGAATTCTCCTGTTTTTCTGTTGATCAAGCGAACGGTACCGTCGGCCAGACCGATCCCCAGGTAATCAAAAGTCTCTGTATACGATAGACACAAGATTTCTTGAGTCCCTTCTCTTGAAAAATCGAATGGAAATAATGAAGTAGGGGATTCATTCAATCAGTTGATTGCGAAGCGTACATTTGACTGAGAATAGTAATATCTCCTTCCAGATGTAACCCTTGCTCCACCTCTGCGAGTCTGTTGTCCTCATCAACATCACCAGCCTGGTGATGCGATTTTACAACGGCATAACTAACTTTACGAGATAATTTCCTCGGGCCTAATGTTGATGTCCGAGGGATGGACTGTCTACTCTTGGAGGCACTTGCCTGAGAGCTGATTACTGATTGTCTCAGTGATTTTCTCATTATGTTAAGGTTTAAATAAATAACAGAATTGGAGAGGCCGACTGAAGGCATGCGATTATCATCAGAAAACAAAAGAAAGAAATTATTTCAAGAATAATATATTGTGCCTCTAGGGAATAGAGTATTTTCTGACGAAATGTGACTTCATAATCATATGAGTAGAGGCTCAGTTCTGGGGGTTGAAGTGACCCCAGCGGCATCGTAGTACTGCACCCCAAGAGAGGGAGGGCGCCACACGCAATGGGGGTGTCTGCCCGTCAGCCGATTCGGTAACTGCCTCAGTATATAGTGAATATTGTCAGAGGAGTAACCTCGGCCGTAACCCCCACTCTCCGAAATCCCCACTTGTGGCCGTGTTCCCCACCAGTCG